CACGTGCAAGAAGGCCTCAAACAAAGAGCAGATGGATGCATACAGTGCAGATGCTAAAAAACTGCTGACTAGTTAGAATGCTGACACTCTTTGTTGATAACTCCATTAAACTGCATTTAACTGTATATATCAGGAAATGATTTTCCGCTCACTAATTAACTGTCAATAAACTGGATATGTTCATTTGAAACATAATCCCAACCAGACTTTACCTTGAAGGTGAACTAGGCTCTGGAGTTGAAGTAAAAATTATGGTACCACTCCAATGCAAGTTGACAATCTCAACTCCAAACTTGATCCTTTATTCTTGAAAGTTGGAAGAATCTAGGTTTGGGTTTTGTGAATCAGGAATCCTGTTTGGAGAACTAGAGATTTTTTGTAAGGAAACAAGCTGATTTTCAAAAGAAGAACTGTCGCAGGAGACAGAAAGTACAGGATCGACAAAAGTATCTGATCATTGCGTGCCCACCTGTCCACAAACCCAACAACATTTAACTGACAAGTAACTAAACAAGTAACTAAACAAGTAAACAAATAAACAAGTAAACAAGTAAACAAATAAACAAGTAAACAAGTAAACAAATAAACAAGTAAACAAGTAAGGGCAAATGTTGGGTTTGGGAAGAGGTAAGTACACTGTTGCTCAGATTCTAACACTGATCCAAAGTATGACCCACAGCTTTTTTTATTCATGTTAGACAGTTCAATAAAACAATATCTCTTGTTTCCCTAAATTTCCCAGTAATCTTTGTTTATGTGAGTGTAAAACAGTTTCTTTTTTACTCTTAAGTATTAATTTGTTTGTTTGTTTTTTTTTTACCACTTTCAATTTTGTCTAGTTAAGATTGTACCTGATAAACTGCTAGTAGTCATAGACGAGGAACATGAGGTAGGTTTATGTTGTGCTAAATTTTAGGTATATAATTAAGATAGTTATTGAGCACTTAAATTTGCAGGCATAAGAAATTTTGGAATCTCATCAGTTGGTCTGGGTGTATCGTGGTAGGGTTTGATATACCTGTCAAATGTCCAGCATAAAACAGTGATCAAACTTCTGTGCACGTGCAAACCCAAATAGAGGTAGAGGTTGGACATACCTGTCAAATGTCCAGGGTAACACAGTGGTCAAAATTAATGTCATACAGTGGCATGCTTTCAGGCTGTCAGAACCAAGTTGTCTCACACGGTAACAAGCAAGACAGTGGTTTTTCCTTATGCTTTCCTTTGAAACTTTGTGTGAGAAATTGACTTTTGGGTGGCCAAAATTGATCCCCTTGCATATGTCTGACATTTTCAAGACTGCTGTGTTGTCAAGCCTTGAGTGTGAGTCTCGTGTGCTAATCTGCTGACCACACTTTGGAATAAGCAGGTTTACTGGCATTCATTTTTGGAGATCCATATGACATCTCAAAGTTTGATACTTCAGCAACCAAGAAGAGAGAGACAATTTTTTATGGAATGAAATAAAGGAGCATGTCTCTAATGATATTTTGAGTAAATTTTAGTCTGCTCCCTCTGACTTCAGACCAAAACAAATTGTGTTGTTAAATTGATACAGCATGCCAGATGGCTGCCAAACACAGGTAGCCAATTTAAAATTGTCTCAAACTTTCATAGTTTGGAGTGTAGATGGAACGTCAATTTTGACCATTTACCGAGTCATCACGTTGTCAAGAATAACTTCTCAATGCAGGGCAGATTAAAAGAACTTTTATTGTTTTTATGGTGTTTATGGTTTTCCGAGTTTTACAACTAATTGTTTTTTGCAGGATATATCCATTGAGGATTTAAGGGAGGAATTACCTGCCCACCAGCCTCGGTATCCTTTTGGACATCAAGCAAATGAATTGTACTTTAAGCAACAGTTATTGCAAGGAACAACTTGTGAAAAGCTTGAAAAGCCTGGAAGCTATGAAAAACTAGTAGCTGAATATATTGGGAATGGTCCAGTGAAGTTGGGATAGTAGTGAATTGTTGCAACAACTTTCACAAAATTGTTTGAAATTTCCTAGATTCAGCCATACCTAAAATGTAACATTTTTACATGGATGCAAGATTGACATCTGATCAAAGAGCCTGTCATTTTCATTTAAGTTCATTAACTGAACTTAATTTAAAGTGGCTGAACACAGTTTTCATGCAAACTTTTGCTGATGCAATTCAGTGCACACACAAGGATTGCAAAGAACAAACATGCCGTCAAAAGAGAGCTCATTTTATTAACTTAACACGTACCCACACTATCTGTGCTATTTTTCTCTATAGTTGGCGCAGTGTATTGAGGGCTTTAATATTTTATTACAAAGATATATTAGAAAAGTTGACGGTGCAAAGAACCCAGGAATTCTCAGCTTTTTCGTCATTACTGAAAGAACCCAGTTAAACACAACGTATGTGTAGTAAGTCAAAAAATTGCGATTGAATGGAAAATTGCTCTCTTGGGAATACACCTATTTCTAGAGAACCACTTATTAGAATTTCACGAAATTTGGCGGGAAAATACTTCAGGAAATAAGAAACTGTAGCATCGAAAAAAATTAATTTTAAACAAAGGAAATTTTAGATAATCAAGTGAACCTTCAACAAGGGATAATTAAAGATCTCTCTGTTAAATTGTTTGCAAAATGGGGTTAACTTGTGAGTATTGTTACAAGCTCTTGGCATGCAAATTATAAATAAAGAAAATCTAATGACTAGATTTTCTTCAAAATAATAAACAAAACTGATTTTAATTGGCTGTTTATATTTATTCATGTTGCCATGGCAATGGCACATACGTCAGCTTAACTATTGAAAAAACAAAGTTTGTGTAATTAACTTGCTTGCTGCCAGTTTTGGTGACCGAGAGATCAAGTGTTTTAGACAAAATGGTGAAAGAAATACAGGTATCAAAAACTGTGTTCAGCCCACCTTAAGTTATATTTATTATTAATAATTGTCAAAAATCTACATTTCTCCTTAATGATTTGCAGCTATGTGGTTCTTAGTTATGTTCATAAACATGATGATGGAAGAGTTTCTTTTCCTTTTTGTTTTATCTTTATTTCTCCCCAAGGTAAGTTCAGAGAAGTTTTCAATGCCAGGTCCCAAGGGGCTAGGATTACAAGGCGTCAACTCTATTTATTTATCAAGTAAAGACATAATCCTCACAGGTGGCCATGGGCAGCAATTTGAAAAATTGCAGAAACGAAGCCTCTGTTAAAAATTCAGGCTTTGATGGGATTGGAACCCATACCCACAGATACTAGTCGGGTGTCTCTACCAACTTAGCTACGAAACCACATGTTGGAAGTTGGGCACATTTTAAACAGTTCCTCTTTGCCTTCGAGGAATCTGATGTAATTTGTAATGAAATAAATTTCACTTTACCTGCTGGTTGAAAATCAAATTAAACCCGTGCATCCCAGACACCAGTTGGGCACTACTATCAACTGAACTAAGCCGGAGAGGAGCAGCTTGCCTGCAAGTATCATGACATCATTTGATTTTTAATTGGCAGGTCAAATGACTTTTATTTCATTACAAATGGCAGCTTGATTTCGGTGGTTCTACATTGTGTGCTTTCAAAATACTCCTGTCTCTTTCAACCAGGTTGTAAGCCAGAACTACACATGATGTATTCTGGCACAAAGACCAGCCTTACCACAGATCTTAACGCAACCAAGGTAATTTGAAAATCAACAGATAGCAAATTTGTTAAATAATTTGAAAATCATCTAAGTATGTAAGTTTTCAAAACTGAAGTATATATATCTTGTGAAGGTGTAGTCTGATCGTCCGGGTGAGTGTAGTCCTGAGAAGGACTGTTGTCGGTGGCAGTGACTGACGTTTCGACAACCTGTGCGGAAGTCATCATCAGAGTCAAGTGA